GTAAGCACTCAGCGTGCGACCACACGACCGATCCCAAGCCGAGCAGCATCCCAAGCCAAGCAACGCCTTCACAATCAGTGCCGACAATCAGCACCAACACACGAGCAGCCCACAGGCACTATGTTAATGATTTTTGCTGCCAACCTGCTATGCCCAACAGGGTGATTCACAATCACTTGCAAAAATCCATCAAAAAAAGGTGCCGGAACACTGTTCCAGTGCATTCTATGACAAAAAAAGCCCTGGTAACACCACTAGGTGTGAAAATGAGATATTTCCTGGCAAACCATTGGCCCGAAGTTATACATTCTGAAATGCCTGATTACATTTCACATATGTGGTGGTGTGTGTGCATGTGCACATGTGTGCAGGGGGTTGAATAGTTACTATGGGATTGGGATCATCATCATTTGGACATCAGTAACAGCTTCCCTCCTGCGGCAAACGGCAGCACACAGGGAGGGGTTTTCATAAGTAATGTGATGTAGGAAATAGTTCCCCCCACCCCACTGCATTTATTTATGCTTTTACTTATTCCACTGCGAGGGACCTGTGGCTGCTATTTAACAACAAGCATGCCACAACAATTTCCATAAAATGGATCCTGCATTTCTCAGATTGTCTACTTTGGCCCACAGAAGTAAGTTAGATGATTTAAGACTGATGCTTTTTACAGGCTTTCTCTTCCCCAGGCTGTTTTAGCAGCTCCATCCCCTTGAGGGGGAAGGAAAATTGGCTCTGCTGTTAACTCTCACAGGGCTCTCCACACACAATGGTGCTGCCCATGAGGGGAACGTCTTTCCCATCCACAGGTGTGAAGCAGTCTGAAATGGTAGCTAACCAGCCCAACCTGTATTGTAAGCCATCCGGAGATGCTAGTGGTGGACAGGTTAGAAAAGCTTTTAATAAATAAATATAAATAAACCTTTCTTACAATCGGCACTGTGCTGAAACCCCGCCTGTCCTTTTGCAGCCTCATGTTTGCCTGCCAAACCAGCAGCCATTTTTCTGCCTCTTTCATCAGGATCTGGAGAGTTCTGGAGGAAATTTTGCTGGGCTTCAGTGCTTGCCTTACTGTAAGGCATGGCCTGAGAAGTGTGGGCCCTCTATTTTACCACCCCTTCACCCAGCCTCTATCCCATCCTTGCAGCCTCTCAAGGTTTATCCAGGACTAACCCTCGGGTCTTTCCAGCACTGCTGCCTACTGAGGGCCTGAAAGGTAACAGAGGCATTTCTGGTTTAGGTTGTCGTTGTTCCTAAAAGTCCTAGAAGCCGAAGGAAGGAAACAGTAGGAGAACAAGGACAAGTTGCCCAGCTTTCAAGCACTCATCAGGCAGCGGCAGGAAGATCTGGCTAAGCCCTTTTCAGAAAGCCCCAGCAGCCAGAAAGACACAATAGGATAAACATAGCAAAGGACACTTACGCAGCCCTCCTCAGTAAATGAGCTGGAGAAGCACTGAGAAAGTTCTCCCAAACTCTCACTCCTGCCCAGAATTTGCAGGTGAAATTTCTTTTCACCGCTCCCCCCAGTGAAAGTTGGAAAATAAATAGCCTGAGAAATTCAGCACAGTGCTACTTATCTCCAAGGCTGACTTGGTTGCTTGTGAATCTTGTCAAATAGGACAAACATCACCGAAGAAGTTAAAAGAGGACCCTGCTTCAATAAAATTTGCGTATACTAATAGATTTAAATAAAAATACAATATATAATACCACATAAGTGAAGACTGTGACTTGGAGGCCTTGCTTGGGTGGAGCATCCCATTATCTATAATCTGCCTTGAGGTTGTTCCCTCACTTTTGCAATTTGGGAATGAGCTGAGAAATCTGAAGGTAATCTTTCTCATTTTTTTGCATCCAGTTCAAAAGCAAGGTCTCTTGGGTTTCTCTTCCTCTGGATCAGGTAAATACAGTTACTCTTACTGTTCTTTTTCCTCTTGATTTTGCTTCAGCCCTGTGCTCGAACCTTTCTTCTGCAAATGCAGAAAATGAACATCTTGGATTGGGAAACACTGATGAAGGCAAGACCCAGTGACAGGGAGTGAGATGAAACTGTAGAACGTGACAGCATGAAAACAGGGAGAATGTCTAGCTCTTGACTTTTGCAGTAAAGCAAAGATGGGAGATGCAGGTTGGGACATGTTAAAAAACAGCACAATGGTGCAATGCAGCAACTCCTAAGCAGCAACACCTTTTCTGGGAAAAAGAAAAAAAAACTAAGTACATTTGCAGCTTTGTTGATGCTAATGAAACCTAACTAAAGAGGGCTCAGTAAAAAACAGGTGTAGGTGTTCTATAGCTTGGTGGTCAAACCACATATGATCCAAGTGTAGTTAATTAACAAGAGTTTCTTCTGTGTTGTGGATAGAAACTGCTTCTCAAAAACTACACAAAACAATCTGGAATGCTGTACTGGGAACAAAATAATTTAATAGCTTTCCACAGGAAATCCCAAGGAATGAGGAGTAGCTTCTTTATAATTTATGATTCAAGTGGACCAAAGAATAACCACCTTAATGAGATTTGGGCTACGTAACCATCATTGTGCACAGAATTGCTACCTTTGCAAAACCATTAATGAATATGCATTCTTCTATTTAAAAGTGATTTGAGGTACATCACAGCTATTGAATCTGGCACTGAAATACATGTTTCCTCAATGTCCTACGGTGTAGATTTTTTATTTTTTTAGTATATATGACTTTTAGTGAGCTTGGGGCTTTTTTCCTGGAAAACACTTGATTAGGTTAATATCAAAGAACTTTTTATTCTGTTCATTTCATTTGCTGCTGTTGTGGTAAACTGCCCCCCCCCCCCCATCATTGATCTTTCTCTTTTACGGATCATGGCCCATAGAAGATCTGCAATTGTATCCTCCACTGCTTTCTTTTTTAATCAAATGTAATGGTAGGTGGTAGGCTGGGATGCGACAAGCTATTCAGAGCAGAAGTACAGGGGAGGAGTGCTTAAGACTGAATTACATTTTTTATAAGAACAGAAAAATATGAATTTCTATCTCCACTTGTTATGATTGTTCTGTTGCACTGGAAACAGCAGTGACTCATGACCAGCAATGAATGTAAGCTGATGTTTCTTGTATGCTGCCCTCGTTCTGATGAGGGATGGGATGCACATGCTGATTCTGTCCCCTTCTGTGATATTGGGGCTGCCCTCACCATGCTTGAATTCTGCAGTGGGCAATTTTCTCTACTCAATTCTTCCATGAGAATAGGCACATTGCTGAAGTGAGACATCCCAATGGAAAGTGATACCTTAATGATGGGGAGATGATGGAGGAGGCAGGGATAATGGGCTTGTCCCTGTAATCCATTCTGAAATCAGGGAAGAACGCCGGAGTAGGACGTGTTATCCCCACTGGATTTCAGCCAGAGGTATCACTTAGGTTTCTAGGTGTGGCTGAGGTAGATTTCACATAGCCTCAACACAACTAGAAAATAAGTTGGTGTTGCCTTATTTAGATCATACACATCCATGCATTGCTGGAAGGATCCAAGTGAGAACATTTCTTTCATCTTGGATATCCTTTATTTAATATAGTACTGACTTGCTTAGCCAGTTCAGAATATTTCTAAGATTTTTCTTGGAGATATCATTTATTTGCATAGTCATGATTCTCTGCTTGTAACAACAGTTGGTACTTTACAGATATGCAGAGTTCTCCTATCATTACTGCATTCAACCAAAAAATATTGTTGTAAGGTAAGTCACTATTCTAACCATTTCACATGCAGAGGAGCAGGGACTGAGGATGTTTATGTACAATGATGCTGACATTAGCACCAGAACTGCAACTGTAAATTAAAGTGCAGTTTTGATCAAAATATGTATTAATTAAACAGTTTCTAGACTGGCTGTCATGTTTGTCTGCTTGGCAAAAACAAATTGTCTTGTGTCCCTTTAAAAACTAAGTTTAATCATGGCTTTCTTTAATTTCCAGTATGGCAGTAACAACATTCAGCATTTATACTTCCTTGAATAAAGGCATCTTATAGCCTCAGTTATGCAAATAACCTCCATGAAGCTATTTGCTGAACATCACAGGCAACTCCATACCAGACTTCCTAAAGATACTGACTTATCACAAGATGTGAGACCAACAGGTCAGTTCACACATGACAGTTTCCCATGGGAGAATTATTCCTGTGAAATAACACTACTCAGAAGGACTTGGATGAACATGGAGAGAGATCCCCATCTGTTCAAGTGGCAGACAGTGCAGGCCCAAGATATTTTGCAGCCTGAAGCAGAATCCAATTCGTACCACCCCGGTCAGGCGAATACTTCAAGAATTCTTGCTTACCATATGCCCTCCACTGGCGATGCTGCCAGCTGAACCAGGGTGCTTCCCATTGCTGCATGTCAGGCCAAGCCCTGGCTATACAATGGTGCTCGGAGGTACAAATCTCCCTGGCAGGATCGGGATATGCTACAGGATAGCTTAGGAATTCATTTTTAAGCTTTTTGCAATGAATCATCCTATGTAACATTGGAAAAAAGATACTTTCACTTCATTTTGGAATTCTAGGAGCTGAAGTACTTTTATTGCATAATGGCAGGGAGGATCATGCATAGGACCATGCCCGGAACCATTCACCAACCCCAGTGCCAGTGCATGTTTGAAAATGGCTGTGGTAGAATAATACATTGAAAGCAAAGCATTCCATTCTGCATTTTCCTTTCTCATTCTTTGCAATTACCTCAAGGTTCAAAGGAAGCTGGTCTGCCTTCATTCCCCTACAAACAGAAGGCACCTGAAGAGCAGCTGAATAGCCTTCTCCCTCAGCTTCAGCCCCATCTCTACCTTCCATTCACAAAGCCCGAGGGATTAGCAAATCCAAATTTCTATGCAGAAGAAAGAGAATCATTGCGGTTCTCAGTCTGTTTCTAGGATTGGCCTGCTCCCTAGGAAGTTAAGCTCATCCTTTCCAAGCAAAATCTATATGCTGTGTGTTGAGCATGAGAGGTCTTGTCTCCTGCGGTCAGTGAAGATAAGCTTCCTGCCAGTGTTCCCCTGATTCCTTTAGACAGCTGCAAGGAAGAAAACAGCTCTCGTTAAATAGCTCTTTTTTCAACAGCCCACAATCACCAATATGCAGCTGTCCCACACCACATTTGACCCCCCCCCCTTTTAATCAGCACTTACCGCAGGATATCTGCAAAGGCCGTGAGCAGGGGCTTGCACTGGTACTTAACACCGTGCTTGGCACAGAGGGATTTCACAAGGGGGGCCACCTTCCAGTAATTGTGCCGAGGCATGGTTGGGAAGAGGCTGCCGGAAGAGAGGGAGCAAAGGTGTTAAACTGATACCGCAGAGATGCCAGGAAGCCAAAAGCATCTTATCTCTGCTGAAGGTCCCTGGCCCTTTAATGCCCGATATGAATGTGGTCTGTCATTTCCATGAAAGCCTTTCCCAGAGTCATTCGTGTTGCATAATGTCTTCAATACCATCTTTGCTCTCCATATAGTTTATACTCACTGATGCTCGATCTGGAAGTTCAAGTGTCCAGTGAACCAGTCATTGAACCTGGATCGATCCACATTGCACGTTGCTGCAAGCTAAGCAGGATGGAGAAATGGGCTGAATTGCATTTACTTTGATTATTGCCAGCACACAGTGAATGTCCTTATTTGTGGTTCTTAAACATCATTGTAGGGTGGACCACCATTTCTCTTTGCTTGTCTTTTGAGGGATTTCTTACCCTACAACTATTGCATGAAAAATCCATTGAAAGACTCAACATGTACAACTATTTTAAAATCAAATTACATGCATGAGCAAAGAAGAACCACACACATAAGCAACTTAGGATGAAGTGGAAAGCTGAAGGGGCAAGCTGCTGTTCACCAGGAGAGTCAGTTCTCTCTTCAGTCTGCAGGGGAAACTTGAAAGGAACTCCTAATTTGTTTCCATTTTCCTCTGTTCTCTTCATTGTGGGCTCACTTTCCTCCTTGAGGGAGCAGTAGGACCACTGCTTAGGACCAGCTGATCTACATTACTGCTCACCAGGGCATGCAGCAAGATAACACTGAGTTTCCTAAGAGCCTTCTTGCACTAAAGTATGTATGTGTGTGTGTGGGCATCCAGGAATCATGCAGTGTAAGAATTGGGAAGACTCCTAGTGTATCAAACCAGAGGCTGGCTGGCTTCAGGATTCTGTTCCTGTAGTGGCCAAGCAGAGGCCTGCGGAAGGCCCACAAGTGGGATGCTCTCCAGGAACTGATGTTCAGAGGCATCTCCCCTCTGAGGCGGGAGGTGATCAATCACCATCACAACTGGTAGCCCCTGGTAAAGCTTATCCAGGCATCTGCCTAATCCTGTTTCAAAGTGGCCCATTGCCACATGGTGCAATGGTGGCTTCTGCAGTTTCACTAGGCAGTGTGTGAAGAAGTAAAACTATTCCAGAACCACAATGAGCAGAACAAGCTAAACCTTTCTCTTTCTATCTCACCCTGCTTGTGTCAGGTCTGAAAATCTTCTTATTACTATTACTCTGAAAATACTATCCTCCTTTATAGAAGCCAAATCATTGTTTTGATTTTGTTTTGATTTTTCCAGGGATCAGAAATGATCATCCCATATGTCTGGCTTACACTACCTACATGGCGATATCCCTGTTTACTTTTCTAGACAACAGTTGAGCTGATGCTGAAGCCCACATCGATAAGACACATACAGGCAAGAGTTCAATCACTTAAACTGTTACGATGAGCACCTGAAAACAGTGCTGAACAAAAAACAGAATTGACCAGTTAGCTAAAAAAAAAAAGCCCAATTGTTTTGTGGAATTTCATGTTCCAGTGCTGAGAAAAAAAAGTCCTGCTGGTTGACCACTGAGATGCCAGACAGAACTAAAAGTTCTGGACCTTCACTTTGAAGCCCTGAGTAGCCTGGGCCCAGGATATCCCAGGCATTGCCTTCTCCTGTATGACCAACACCACCATGGCTAGTTAGCACATCTCAGAAGTCCATGTCCATTGAAGGTCTTATTCAAGTGAGATGCCACCATGGGCTAAGCTAGCAACGAGAAGGACCAGGGCTTTTTCAATTGTGGCACCTGTCTTCTGGAACTTCCTTGGGGAGACTATCCAAGTCCCATCACTTTTTAGATAAGCAATTATAACATAAGATTGTGGCAGGAACCATAAGCCATGGATTCACATTGCAACTCTGCTGTGGAAACTGCAATATGGCATATATGGCTCCTGAAGTAATATATGTGATGCACTCTGAACATTCTAAAATATTATATTTCTGCTAAGTATTATGCTCCTGGCTTGGGACCAGCTCTAAAGAATGGCCAGACACCCTTCATATGGCTGGACACCTGTGTTGTAGCCTCCTATTGCTTTCTGCACCAGTGTCAAAATTCTTTTCTTTATGTTAGGATTCTTCACTACATCATGCTGACTGGGTGCAGAGAACATGATAACCGAGCACAGAGTATGGGCTAAACGTGGGGTGTTGTCTGAATGAAACTGCACTAACAAACTGCAGCTTGTTGACCATGAACAACCCATGAAGAAAAGCCAAGAACTGTGGTTGTTCAGCATTGTTTTTCATTTTGACTGGGTTCAGACAAGGATCACCCACATTTCATCAGCAACCTACAGTTCAACAGCTCACACTCAACAAGCTCACATTTACTATTAAGTGTGTGTTATCATTTTGTGTGACCCCACACTCACTCAACCCAGAGTTGAGTGCCTTCTCTTCTTTCCCTGGTACTCCCCCTCCAACACGACTCTTGAAAGATTGCTTGCCAGGGGCTTTCTTTGCGCCTCTCCCTATTTCCATCATTCATGTCTTATCCTATTGCGTACATTCCAGTTGCAATAGAATCCCCAGCTGTCAAGACAACAGGCTGATCAAAGGTTTGCCTTTTTGCATGATTATGTCCAGAAGCAATTTAACAACAGCAGTCTAACCCTGACCTTAGTTATGAGATGACATGCCCCCAAGTATTCATTCATTAATGAATTTACTAGAGGAAAGAAAGTTAGTGCCTCAAAGCAGAAGTGGATGTTACCTCACCTGAGCAGAAACCCAGTCTAAATTCTGATCATAATCAATGTTCATTGGAATGTGGTTCATCTGTGAGATCCAGATGAACCATGTGCTTTCCAAGAGCCTAGGGAGACAAATCATGGTAATAATAAAAATATTAAACTACTGCCATGCAATTAGAGATGGGCAAACCTGTACCCCCAATAGGAACTGGGCTAATTCTGTTGAACATTTGCAGTGAAATGGGACACCCATTTTTGTAAGTGTTCTCTGAAACCTCATAAAGGGCTGGCTCATTAAGTCTTGGCTGTCATACAGCCACTTTCTCTTTTCTGCCCCTTTTCAATCCCCTTTAACTTGGCTGTGCTCCATTCTTTCCTTCCCATAGGAGTGACAGGAGGGACCGAAAGAGAGGTCCCACAGTGGCCCTTCATCAGACCCAGCAGTGTGACATAAAGGATGGCCCAAGATCTCTAGGAATTATATTTGCTGAGTCCTCCAACCTTACTAAAGGCCCAGAAGTTTCTCAAACTACAATTACTTTGTACTAGGGATTCCCTAGTGGAAAATCCTCAGGAGCAGCTCAGCCCTTTATTACCAGACAACAGATTTTAGGAAAAGGGAAAGGAAGAATGGAGCAGCTCAGAATAGGTCTTTTATATTTATCAGCCTTGCCAAAATTCAAAGAGTTTTTTTTGGCTTGTTCATAAAAGCTTAGAATCAATGGCTAGCAATGAGCAAACCTGAGGTTAGTCTCTAAGATGCTACAGCATAATTTCTTGATTATGGTTACAAATGGGCATTGGTATTGGATTCAGCCTTGTGAATGGCACCAGTTCCCATCAGCAGTGTATGACAGCTATGCTTTTGTGGAATGATTGACACTTTCAGAACTTTCCCTGCTGCATTAGGAGATTATCATGCATAACTAAATTCTTCCTGGTGTCTAGTCTAAAACTGGTTATTGTTATTAGCCACTGTTTGCACTAGGTAATAATGCAATTTTTGAAAAAAATAAATTGCAGAAATGTGTCTTTTGGAACTGCTTTTTTTTCTGGAACTCCATATTTCGTGCATGGTTGCACACTTTAAAAAAGTCCTTATTGCACCAGACAACCGTCTACTGTTTCTGATATATCTGTTGAATGAGCAGTGACCAAGATAGGCAGACCCTGATTCCTGGGAGTTTTGCTTAGCAGATCAGTAAATGGTCATTATAGAGGTGAAAGTTGTGGGTAATCTTGGGGTGTGTGACCTGCTCAGCTTGCAGCTCAAGCCTAGGCTGTGCTCTGTGGGCAGCAGATAATAAAGTCAGATTCACACTATAATAATATTCACAATAGAGTTATTAACTACCACACTACATGAAAAATCACCCTCTTCTGAGAAACTGTGCATTGTGCTGCCTTACAAAGAAAGATGAGAAGAGGCTCCACCTGAGCCTCCTGCATGAGCATGAGCTAAAGGGCAAGTTCTCTTGAGGCTGTTTACACAAAACAACCCCCTCCACCCTCAGGCAATGGCACTGCTGCTACTTCACAGTCACATCCACATTCCTCTAAGACGCCGCCCACCAGAAGATTGCATAACAACACTGCAGGAGCCCATTACAAGGGATAGCAAACGTACCTGCTGCAGCTGATTGTAACTAAGAGTTTTGGAATATATTATGGCCCTGACTCGTGTTTACAGATTGGAAGTTGATGGATTAAAAATAGTTTTGGGTGCCATCAGAGGCACAAACTCTCTGAAAATCTTCTCAGGCTGTTTCTACAAGTCAACTGAGATCATCATTATGAGCCTGTACAGTCTGATGAGATCACCTGAGATGCACACAATCTAATTTGTCACACTCCACCAGTTTATAAAGGCTTGTACCTTTATGAGGCTTGTGTAGCAATAGCACAGCTGAGAGTTTACACGAGGATTATTACCTGGCCAGCCAGAAATATGCCATGAAGCTCTTAAATCCCATTAAAGGAATGTACAGGATGCAGATACGGACATAATACAGCAGCATGACAGCAAATTCCTGCCAGATAGAATAGTGATATGGTGATATATCAGGAACAGATTTGCTGCTTTTATCATTTTCACATCTAACTCTATGGATTAATGAAGATTACAAAGACTATGATGCCACATGACTTAGAGAAACGTTTGCACATATGGAAACACAAAGGGACTTCATCATCTTCAAAAGAAGAACTACCATGGTAGCATAAAGGAGACCAGTAACAGTGCGGATGGACCAGGCAGTTCGATATCATGAATAGTGATATAAGACAAGGGTATGTGGGTGTTTCTGCAGGAAGCTTTGCCCCAGCTCAGAATGAAAGGAATTCCTGGCAGAATTTTTCAGAAGGCACAGGAATGCTTTGGTCACCCAGAATGTTATTTCTGTAGGGACCTCTGGCATACAGCTAAGGCAATCTGTTTGGAGCAGCCTGAGGGCCTGGTCTCCAAGATAACAGCTACTTTATTCTCCCTGCTGCCACCCAAATCCAGAATGGCTCCAACAAAATTTAAAAAGAAAATGTGCTGTTTTATAGTAGGCCAGGGAAAGTATTTCCAATGAATGAAGATGCTGAGAAGGCATCCATTTCATCTAAAGGTACAGATGCCTGACCTCCTGGGTTCTTCCAAAAGGAAAACTCTTAATGGTACCAGTTAGAAGGCATTGTGCAATCATTCTGTCTTTTTCTCTTTAACTGATTTTCTGCAGTAGGAAAAAAGCCAAAAGAATCATGAGGAAAACAGATGAGAACTATGAGTGTTATTAGGTGACACTGCTGAACCTCAGAAAATTTGATGAATGAAAAAGGGAAATGGTGACATAAAAGTTTCATCTGGAAACATCTTGTACGATTCATTTTCCTGCTTCTAGGAAAATACAGACTGATGACAAATAGATCAGATTGTCATCTGGAGCCTGCTTGAATTTCTATGAAGGAGACAGACTGCATGATACAAGTATCAACTGGAAGCAGTTTTGGTTTTGCTAGATGGACCTCTTTATGATGATGATCATTATCTCTTACCATTCCTTGGAAGTGTAATGATGTGAACTGAATTTAACAAGCATTATAAAGTCAGCATAGCTGTGCATGGAATGGGCTGTGGTTAAGCATATGTTTCCATTATAAAACGATCCAGAATTTACAGATATTTACTCCCAAACCAGTACTACATCTCTCTATTTTTCAAACTGTGGTGAAGAAACTCGCCTTTGAAGAGTTTAAGGAAGCACCACCAGTTCTAGAATTCAGCAACCATCTCCAGATCCATTTGGAATTCTGGGAAAACTGCTTCTGTTGCATTCTGGGCCCTATTAAGCTTGTGCTTTCTCCCATGCCAGAAGGTCAAAATACCTAGAAAGGACTTGTGGGTCAAATCTAGGCATTCTTTAGCTCTTAAACAAAATAGTGGAACCATTTTCTTTGGAAGCTTGCCAGATATTGTTTATTTAGCTTATTTTATTAAAATGGAGATATTGCTTAAGCAGCTGGAATTAAGCAGATAGATGGGGAAAACTAGAAACAGATAACATTTAAAAACTAACATAATCTTAGCCTTTAAATATTCACAGTGCCTGACAGTCATAGGAATAGCATCTCATTTTCCTTCATATTTGAAAGGCTCTCTATTTTGTGCTATGGGAGACTGGAGTTAAATAATGAAATTTCCCTAATCCAACTCCAGTGAACAGTGATGCCAAAGTCAGTCTATGTTCCACACCTACATACATCAGTCCTTTTATATGCTTATCTGTAAAAGGAAGCATTGCAAATACATCTTTGCAGATTACTTACCAACCATTTTTTTCTCTGAATCACAAAGTGGAATACAATCAGCTGCACAAATATAACAAACGCCATTGGGGCTAAGACTGTGGTGAAAAAAAATTGCATGTATAATACAAAGGTGAGCACTTTTCTTCAGTTGTACATTATCTAAATTCAAATCAAGTTAGATTATTCCTGAGAGGTTCCTCCTCTCCCATGTCATACTGTCAAATTCATTCTTACTATAACAATACCTTTGTCCATCCAACTGACTATCCTGTCCTTTTATCAAAACAGTCCAGTCAGTGAATATGCTGTTGTTCTACCCCACCAAGGGGAAGATGGTAGGAAACTTTAGCTAGATTTAGGAACCATTGCAAAATGGCAGAGATACTCACGGATGAAGTATTTGTGCTGGTGTTGATACGGCATGTATTTCTTTTTCTTTTTCCCAAGCTGCAAATGGGAAAAAGAAGCACAGTAGTTAAGCTAAATTCAAAGCAAACTATATTACACACCAGAGCAGCTAGCTTCTGTGATGTACTATTCGAGACAAACACTATTGATTTATCATGCACAATGACAGACAGACATTAAGGGATTTGTAGACATTAAAGAAATTGTGCTACAAGCTCTTCCTTCCTGCAACATTGCAGTCCCCAAAGCATATACAAAAATCTCTACATTATCGCTGACTGGGGACAATAAATGGATTCCATTTATTTATTTATTTAAAAAAATTGTAGGCTTTCCATTACTGTCGTCTCTGAACAGCTTACAACATTATTTCAGACTTCAATAAAAAAAGATAGATTAACTATTCCACAGTGAGCATCATTTAAATAAATTAAATAAGTCATTTCACAATTAAAATTACTGTGTGTTAAAATATTGGCCAAATAAAAAGGTCTTGTCCTGGCGCTGAAAAACATATAATGACGGCACCAGGCAGACCTCTCTAGGGAGAGCATTCCATAGTCGGGGTGCCACCACAGAGAAGGTCCTCCTCCGAGTACTCTGTCTCCTGACCTCTTTCAAAGAGGGTTCCCGGAGGAGGGCCTCTGCTGCTGATCTTAGGGAGCGGGAGGGCATGTATGGAAAAAGGCGTTTCTTTAGGTATCCTGATCCCAAGCTGTTTAGGGCTTTATAGGTAATAACCAGCACCTTGAATTGAGCCTGGACTTTGATGGGAAGTCAATGGAGCTGATAGAGGTCTGGAGTTATATGAGAATAACGCCCAGTCCCCAATAGCATCCTGGCAGCTCTATTTTGCACCATCTGAAGTATCCAGACTGTCTTCAAGGGCAGCCCCACATACAGCGCGTTACAGTAATCCAAACATGAAGTAACCAATGCATGTGTCACTGTTGCTAGGCAGTTTTCCTCCAGGTAAGGATGTAATTGATAGATTAGCCGAAGCTGAAGGAAAGCGCTCCTCGCCACCACTGTCACCTGGGCTTCCAAGGACAGCTCTGGGTCAAGGAGCAATCCCAAGCTGCGGACTCTGTCCTTTAGAGGGAGTGCAACCCCATCCAGGACAGAACCATAATCACTTACCTGGAATCCCCTTTCATGCTGCTCACTTCACATTGGCCCAAAGTATGGTCTAAAGGCAGATAAGCCATCCACCATGTTGAAGCTAAGCAGGTTTGGGGCTAGCCTGAGCTTGGGGGGAGATTTCCTGGAAATTGCATGTAGCCACCTTGAGTTCCACAATGGAAAAATGGTGGGAAATAAATATAAATAAAATAATAAAGTGGGGTACAATCAGCTTGAAGTGGAATCTCCAATCAGATAGTGGAGATAACATGGAGATTTTCTTCCCCATGTTCTCCTACCATGTTGGAACAGGGCTAGGGAAAGGGGTGGGAGAGACCAGGAGAAAGGGCCCATGGAAGTGCCCTGGATCAAGCATTTCTTTGGTCTGGCTTAAGGCCATGGGTAGAGGTTACCCCCTGCCTCCCACTGGTAGATATTAGAAAGCCAAAGGAGTCTCAACCAAAATCTGAGGTACTTGTCCACCACCAGCAGAAGCTGTAGTAGATCAAGTAGGAGAGCTGTGCGGAAGGAAAGGTGTGCTTCTTTTTTCCCTCATGGCTGCCCAGGTTGCGTGTCAGGGATGAGCCTGCTTCGGGAATTCATTCTGTGGACATTCTAATACAGACTGACCTAAGGATTTGAACTAAGGTGCAGATTAGAACACAAGTTATCCTCAGAGTCTGATTTTTGTCTAAACACTGTGATGCAAAAACCTTACACATATGCAAATGTTTTATTTTGGGATAAAACACCTTCAGTAAAGTATATAGAGAAAATGCATTTAGGGATGCATATTATGTAACAAAATTAGTTCAAACAAACCACACACTAGAGAATCGAGAATGCTCAGTTTTATGCAAATTAAAACAAACACAGTTTAATGCAGAAATAGGACAGAGGGGACTCCCGAAACTCAATTGCAAAATACATATGGATCAGGAAGATACTCTTAATCGGGTATATGGTTTCCTTAACCTGCTGTGTTTTCTTTTCTGCAGCTTGAGCTGTTCCAAGAGCTCTTCTTTGCTTACCTCCACAGAGAGTGCCTTGCCCAGGCTGAACAGGAGCGGGTGCATGTTGAGATCGGGGTCCTTGCGGAAGCAGTTGGGTTTGGCATGATGCTGATTATGCAAATGCTTCCACCAGCTCGGTGGATTACCCTGCATATATAAGTTGTATAACACCACAGTTGTTGCATTTATTCATGGAAAAAACTACAGCATAAAATTTGACATTCATTCATTCATTCATTCATTCATTTAAGGTATTTTTATACCATTCAGTTAGAGGTGCTCTCATAATCGTGTACAGAATGTACTTTAAAATATCAAATAACAATCAATTTAAAAACAAGTTTAAAACAAACTTGTCTGTCATAGAACAACCACATAACAATAAATTTTGGCAGGCTGTGATAAAACAATAACAAAATGATGCATAATAACATAACCATTCCACCTGTACCAAACTGTTTAAACAGACATTTGCATGTTAAAAATGACATTTTTAAAAAAATGGCAAATGTCGACATAGAGAACCCTATGGAATACCTTACCCATTTCAGTCTCCCAGGTCAGCCTGTCTTGAAAGTCACTGTTATTCAACAAAACATTAAATGAGGGATTCTAGCAAGCAATTGCTGAACTAGAATTTATCAGGAGGTCTGATTCTATAGAATCAAGCCTTTAAGAAGGCAAAGGATTTCCTATGCCAACAGTTAAATTGGTATAGGAAGCAAGAATACTGTGTTATCAGAGTACAGGGTGACAAGTAATCTTTTGAAGGGACACTGAAACTTTTTTAGGAGTTTTGCATAGAAATGTCGGAGATTACATCTCTTACATCATGTAGCTCTCTGGACTCACTGTTTGGAGTACTTTTCCTTAAGCTGATTTGTTACGTATAGGCTTACACTCCTCAGGTGGAAGGTTTTATAAACACATTATAGTGGCTTAGTGTGAACATTGTTCAAGTCACTCTTCACTCAGCTTTAACCACCATCCTCAATATTGAGGTGAGAGTCCCGGGCTACTTTAAAAAGCTGCTATATGCATGAATGAGATCAGGTCTTTGAAACACAGAATGCTTGAAATACGCCATATAAATACAGCTACAGCTATTTATTCATTTGTTCTCCTCACCAGCAGCAGGCAAGCCCCTGAGATCATCCCTCTTGCTCCAGCAGAGTACAGCTAGGGAAGTGCTATCTAGAGGTCACTTGCAATCTCTATTTTTTAATTTTGTTATTATGTTGGTACCTTGCCATCCACCCACAGAACAGAAAGCAACGTGCACAGAGTTCCTAAGTAATTTCCCATCCAGGTTCTGTCCAGGTCTTGAATCTTTTGCTTCAACAAGGTTGCTGCATAATAATTCAAACTATCTCAGTAGTGAATTCATACCTTAAGCATTCCCATCACAAATAAATTACACACTCTGTTCCACTTGGTCTTCTCAAAAACGGAAACATGCCCCAGGTCATGCTGAAAAAATCCATACTGTATCTGAAGGGCAAAAGCAACATCAAGACAGAACTGATGCAATTATTCCTTTATCACCTTTTCAGGAGACTCCTATCTGTTATTCTCTGTATAAGTTCATTTTCTGGGTGAAGAGATACAAAATGCTTTGGGCTTCAGCCTGGGCAGTGGCTGTCACTCAGCCTAAAGAGTATGGGCCAATTGTCTGACACTATGAGCCAGCCTGATGTGTACAAAGAGGCTGAAATTCCACTAGCTATGCACAGATTGGTTAGGGAAAGAGTCTTATGAGACCTTGGGACAGTAAGCTAGTTCTGGAGTGCTGAAGAACAGTCCTTTTACATCCAGTGATGCAGGCTGCTTCTTGAAAAGGCTTTTATCCTGCAATCACCCTGCCTCATTTGCTGATTTTTTTCATAGGGGGCCCAGATCTCATCGTCATCCATTTGTAGCCCTCCCATGTTTCTTCCATCTTCTTTCTCACCCAGAGTTAAAAAAAGTTAAAGAAGGGGAAAGATCTATTAAGTTCACAACAGCTATGGAATGTTAGCACTTGCAGCTCTCTATCGCAAAATGCCGAGAGATGCCTTACCTGTGCAGTAGCGAACAGTGTTATAGCAATAAAGAAAGGCAGCCAGGATTTTCCAAAGTACCAGATGGTGAGCCAGGATGCAATATCTAGCAGGATAGCATGAAGGAAAATGAAGGTGAAGAAGAGATAATTTGGCTTCAGGAGTCCCATCTTCTTCACCTGGTTGTGCAGATCACGAAAATCTTGTACCAGCACTTCCTATGAGAAGTATCAACAGTTAACAGCATTTCCGATGAGAAGTACTCTCTTCTCAGATGTCACTCATGCTGTCTGAGAACATAAGAAGAGCCCTGCTAGATCAGTCCAAAACCTTATCTAGTCCAGCTTCCTGTTTCCTAAAGTGACCAACCAAATACCCATGGAACCACATAAGCAGGGCTTGTGGGCAGCAGCTGCCATGCACCTTCTGCTTGTAATGTGTCTTTCGGATGCCACAATACCTCTTCTGTTGTTAGTGTTGTTAAACAATGGGGAATCAGAAGCCCTTGCAGATCTATTGCACATCAGCCAGCAGTCTACCAGTAGAAAATACGATCTACCATGTGCCCATGTCTAACTTAGAGCATATGATCCATGTTTATAGATATGGACAAATATGACTCACAGGGTCTAAACCAGGAAGGCAATAGTGAATTGGATTGTTCTATTCAGTCCAATCGATGGATGTTAACCTTAAGATCTATATCTGATGCTTCAGTAGATCCAAAGTTATGTCTTATTCAAAAACTCTTGTATCAAGTCTATTGCATGCCATGATGTCTCTAATAAGCATTTGTTTAAGTCAGCTAACTGCTAGAGGTATCATACTGCTAATGCTTTCATTAATCATATTAACTGGACACTAGCTACCTCTTTTGGGGAGGAGTTTTTTATGTGGATAAAACTGTGTATTGGAACACTATTTACTGATACATACATTATTTTACATTATCTGCCTGCTTCCTGGAAATTAATGCATGACCAATGTAAATGGATTTTCAGTGTTCTTTGGATAGCTAAAAGCCTAATATTATAACACTGGAAGGAAAAATTTGCACCTCTTATAATTCAATGCATCAAGGACCTAATGATGCTTCCAACGTATGAATGAATAGCAAACAGATACCACATTTGAACAGATACATACATGGATATTTGGTCTATTTTTGCTGAAGTTTATGTTTAACTGATATATTCAAATTTATGTAGACATGTGCATGGACATGTATATGTTTCTTTTTATGGTATGTTTTTGTTTTGTTGAAACTCATAAAAATGCATTTTAGAAAACTGACTATCTTAGACTAGGGTGTCTATCCGTAAGCTAGTAGATCTTCACAACACACACACACCCATTCCACCATATCTTGTGTTTAAAGTGAAGCTTTGAAGAAAACTCACATTTTTGGTGGGCTCACAGCTAGTTTCATCAGGTGCCAGCTCTCCAATCAGCAGTGAGTGCAAATATTTCTTCACTAGGTCATCATTCTTGTGAAAAGCTGTGAAGGCATCCTAACAAACACACAAATAAATAGGGTATAAAAGGAGGAAGCCCTGTGAAGACGTGAAGGAAATGCAAGTCATGTGGGTTTGTTCCTTTTTAGCAACAGATGAAATATTCCAATTGATTGAGCATAAAGAGCATAATTTCTAAGCATCAGAAATGGTGCAGGCAGAATGGTGCCACAATGGTGGCAAATTAGTCTCAGTGATACATGTGATTGTGATTTCAGAGCTACAGAGTTTCTTGGATAGCTGAGAGTGGTTTTCAAAAGAGGAAAGGCAGAAGGAAAGAGGTGGGGAAATAAAAGAAAATCAGAAGAGGAAGCAATAGGAAATCAGAGGATCAGTGTGAAAGGAAAGGAACTTCTGTGGAATTTCAAAACAAGCTGGAATGGAGGAAACGTGAGTGCAAAGACAAGGAAAGGATTGAGAAAGGAAAACATGCTGAGAATTTTGCCGGGCAGAGGTAGGACTCTAGATGATTCCTTCTTGCATGTGCCTGAACAAAAATGCCAGTTCAATAGCTACACAAATGAGAATTTCAAGAAATGTACATTGCAGGTTTTTGCTGGAATGATTAATAGCATGCAGCAAGAAGACAGAAAACAGAGTTCTGGTTTACCTGTAATGATAATCAAATTGGGTCTGATACTCAGGGTGTATGCTTCAAATGCCCCTCTGACCATGCATTTTACTCTGTCTCAGCATCTCAGGTCTGCAGATTTTAATTCTGGCAATTTGGCACAAGATACTCTATATCAGCATACTCTTTTATTGCCAAGAATTTCAGGGTGTAATGGTTACATCAAAAATTATTATTATTATTATTATTATTATTATTATTATTATTATAACATTTCTATGCCGCCCCTTGCCGAAACCTCGGGGCGGCTTACAACATGATAAAATACATTGAAATACAATAGTACATACATGTAGGAAGTGAGAGTTGCTATAGGCTTTAACAATATTCTCATGACATTTCAAGGCCAACAACTACAGCTGAGTCAGAAATACAGAAAACATTTTCTCAGTTGTAATCTCTGTGGTTCAAGGATCAAGTTGAAAGAATCATACTTGAGGACATCTATCTCAATTGATAAAGGATGAAGATTCAAGGCAAAACAAACTAATCTGTATACCCTCCCAGAGATCAGTACCAACCCAGCATCTTGCTTTGAAACTTCTCTGTGATGTGAATCTAGGCTTAAGAAAACCAAGAAATCAAACATGTTCATGATCAAATCCATGAAAGTTCTGATGCAGAAATGCCTAAAGCACCCCTCAACCATTTGGGTCCAGGTCCAACATTCAGGACTGATTCTTGCCCAGTAGTCCAAGTCACAGAAAGTAGATGAATCAAAGTCTTCAAGGAAACACAGCCTAAGAAAAACTTCACACACTTTGCAGATTACTCACACAACATCCAGAGAAGCAATGGGCCCAAAATAAGACCATCCTTAGGCCCTAAGTGGTGATAGATCCAAATATAGCAATGCTGGCTGAGAAGATGAAATGTTCTAGCAATGCCTCCAAGCCTGAGCAGGTGTCTTTCAAACACAGACTGGCTATCCCAGCTCTTTTACTAAACCATTCATGGACAGAATTTTAGCCTGTCATGAGGCCTCTTTTCCAGTCTGGAAATTTCCTTTTCACCTTTTGATGATGAACTTCAACCTGAGTGACGGTGGGCTCCTGCAGAGGTGGCCAACTCTCATGGCTGTGAAGGCTGAAAACTACAGCTGGACAGGGGAGTGATCCTGCTTTCACTTGTTTTTGTCTGAGAAGACTGACAGACTCTCATCAACCTCAACATTCCACAAGGTTGTCAAGGCCTCAGTTCAGCCAAGCTACTTCTGACCAAGTCTTAGTGTAAACTAACAGACTCTGACACATTCCGGTTCCTCTCTGACTTTTGGTTTTGGGCAAACCAGTATTTGCCATTGCATCTGAACAAGCAAACTATGGTTTATGTTTGCAGCATAGCATCCCAAGTCAGATGCTACCCTAACAGAACAGATGAATATTACCTTAAAACGATACCTCAATGGCTAGATTGCAGAAGTGGTGGGGGGCAGGTGCTCCACCTCTTTAGGGTCAAAAACATCCCAGACATCTTGATATTGGGGAGGGAGGGAAGGAGGGCAGAATGGGCAAGGAGATGTCTGGAAGCAGAAGCACAGTGCTGGGAACAACAGGGGGAAGGGAAATCCACATCAGCATCCTTCCAGGAGATCTGAGTATTGTACTTAGCCAGACAGTCCATGCTGAACACCTTGGGGCACTGGAGGTTGCTAGCAAGGAAAAACGTGAGCTGCTCTGCATGGTTCCCAAGGTCTCGCACCAGGGGGCCCATTTGGAGTGACAGTTGCCCGCCTTGCAGTGGGCAGCATTGGACAGAGGCAACCATCAGGGGACAGGGCAGAGGAGAGGCTGGCTAAGCATGCTGCTGGACAAAGTCCAGGTCCATGAGAGTCACTGTTGTTTTACTATCAACCAATACGGAGGAGTGTAGCTCAAGCCCCTCAGACATCTGGAGACATCCTGCTCCTCAGTCTTCTGAATCTGAGTCAGCAAAAGTGGTGTGGGAATACTTGGCTAAGCCTTCCATCACGCTTGCTTGCAACACCACCTAAGAATTGTTCTATCAGGATGTCATCAGACACTTTGTAAAAAGCTTTGTGAAAGTCAAGATAGATTATATAGAGGTGGAAATAGTAGGCAGCAGGAGGTTGGGGTGAACATCATGTGACACACCCCTGAATCAGTCATTACTAGCAAAAATGCCTTGTATAGCTTTTCCTACAGACAAGCCCTTCCTCTCACAGAAGGCCAATCCAGGATTCTACCACAACAATGTATAAAGTTGACTAACTGATGGTTATATGCTTCTGGGAAAACAAGTCACTGAAAAGCTATAAACGAGGACCCTTCTACCACTGGGTTGCTTTTAATGGTATGTTAATGGTGTCACATTATCTTGCATCCAGGCATAGATCTCTGTATCGGTGGAAGTACTGGATGCTAAGGAGAAAGTTGTCCTTGCATTCATATACCTGAGGTGCGGCACATGAATGTGCAGGCTGATACTCTGTTCTTAACCAAGATGAAATAAGACCAAGATGTTCTAACCAAGATGTTCTAACCAACATCTTAGCCAAGATGTTCTAACCTTCTCACACCTGAATTTTGGATAACAAAACAGCGGGGCTTAGATTCCACATGTAACATTTCTACATTTCTACTTAGTTTCCTGACTGCTTGAAACTAACTGCAGAAATGTCTTTGAAGTGGAAATATACATTGCTATCTAAACTGATGAATGGGGAGGCATGGTAAACACAGACAGGAACTGTACATTTGCAGTTGAACATTATTGCTGTTAAAATAATTAATAATGAAAATATGCATGAAAATATGCACTGTCTGGCCCAGTTTTATTGGATGAGTTTCAGTTATTGAGGCCCAAGGATATGGACAAGGTGCGTGGTCAAGTTCAGCCCACCACTTGTGTGCTCAACCGTTGCCCCTCATGGCTGATTACAACAATTGAGGAAGGGATTTCTACTTGGGTCCGGGAGGGTATAAATGCCTCCTTGGGAGAGGGAATGGTGACAGCCTCTCTAAAAGAGGCTGTAATTAAGCCACTCCTGAAAAAGCTCAATCTGAAGGCAGAGGATGATGATAACTCCCAGCCAGTGGCCAACGTTCTCTTCCTGGGCAAGGTGCTTGAATGGGCGATGGCTGCTCCAGGCACTCTTGGATAAAACAGATTATCCGTTTCAGTTGGGAATCAGGTCTGGTTTTGTAATGGAGGCTGCCTTGGTCAGGGAGACTTTGCAGGGAGAAAGACAGGGTAATACAACCCTGTTGATTCTCCTGGACCTCTCAAAGGCTTTCAGTACCATTGACCATGGAGTCTTTCTGGGTAGACTTGCTGGGCTAGGAGTAGGAGGCACTGCATTGCTGTGGTTCTGCTCCTGCTTGACCAGCTGATTCCAGAAGGTGGTGCTGGGAATTATTGCTCTGTGCAGCGGCACTTATGCCATGGGGTACTGTAGGGATCTGTTTTATCCCCTGTGCTATTTAACCTCTACATGCAACTGCTCGGAGAGGTTATCTGGAGGTATGGACTGAAGTGTTATCAGTACTCCGATGACACTCAGTTCTACCTCTCTTTTTCACCAAACCCAGGTGAGGCAGTGGCAGTTCTGAAGCAGTGTCTGAGCATGGTAATAGACTGGATGAGGTCTAACAAATTGAGACTGCAGACAAGATGGAGGTGCTGTTGGTGAATAGACTGTCTGTCCAGTTGGGTGATAACTCAAACTGTTCTGGACGGGGTTGCACTCCCCCTAAAGGACAAGGCTCATAGTTTGGGGATGTTCCTGGACCCAGAGTTGTACCTTGAGACACAATAGGCTCAGTGGCCCAGAGCAGCTTATATCAGCTTAAGCTGATATACCAGCTACAACCTTTCCTGGACCGGGAAAGCCCAGTTACTGTTATCCATGTTCTGGGACTCTCCTGTTTAGATTACCGTAGTGTGCTGTATATAGACTTTGAAGATGGGAAAATTAACTGATCCAAAACAGGGAAACAAAACTTAATGGGGACTGTCTCATGAGACCGTATGTGCCAGTCCTCTTTCAGCTGCACTGGCTGCCAGTTGAAGTCCAGGCCTGATTCAGAGTGCTAGTACTAACATTCAAAACCCAAAGTGGCTTGGGGCCTGCTTATCTCAAGGATTGCCTTCTCCCGTATGTACCTTCCTGGACCCTGAGGTCATCTTTGAGGGTCCTTCCCTGCGAGCCCCTTCCAAGGGAAGCAAGGTGGATGCTACCAGGAGGACGGCCTTTCAGTTATGGCAGCCCAGTTGTGGAATGAATTTATTAAGGAGGTGTGCCTGGCACCTACTTTGTATTCTTTATAGTGCCAGGCAAAGATCTTTCCATTTCCCCAGCATTTTAACATTTTAATATTTAATATTATATTTTAATATGTGCTATTATTATGCTTCCATGTAGATTAAATTTCAATTTCTATTGTGGTTTTGTTGTTTTAAGTTCATTTTTGTTTGTGCATGCTTGTCTTTTTGGCTTTTGTTTAAACACCCAGAGAGCCTCAGTTATTGGGTGATACAGAAGTGAGATAAATATCACTTATATCAAATAAATATCAAATAAATCCATTTAGATGATTTCTCTAATGATAGATGTATCCTTTATTCAACATTCATCAATATCAATAGTTCACAGTAATAGCACTAATATTGATTTGTTTCTATACTGACATTAATGCATATAAGAATTTAAAGAATTACACTGTCAAAACAAGATTAGCTCCTGCCTAAAGAAGTTTATAATCTAGATTCTGACAGGGAGGTTAGACAAGGAGAAGACAAGCAGAGTCAGGATTTAAAATGTCCAAATATATTTCATAAGTACGGGTAAGTGTGCAGAAATAACCTGGCTGTTGAGTGTTACTCAGCCCAGTACTATGGACTTGCTATTGGAAATAAGACTGACTTTCTCCAGTAAGTCTTTCTGCCCAATAAGTAACATGCTGTCCTTAGGAGGGTATGAGGGAAATGTGATTTTACTAAATTTGGATGGAGTCAGAGGAAGGGTTTGTGGAGTTCACCCCTGGCCTATATTTCCCCCAACAATGTGAGCTAGTTTTCTCTGTTTCTTTGTATATCATGGCATTTCTCTCTCGCCACTTCTTGACCTTGGGGATTTCCCCAGTGCCATTAACTTTAATTTACAACTCATTTTATCACTACATTTATTTTGAAAATGTTTATGATATATGATAAAATAAATAGCTTCATAAAGATTAATGTCACCTCTCAAAGGCTTCAATTAAAACGAATTACAACTTGGTTTTTGGAGGAGGTTTTGGGGGGAGGTGTTTTTTGTTGCTGGCCATAAACTATCCAGGACCCCAAGACAGCTTTACTGAAACACCAGATAAGATTTAAATTCTTGAAAATATATCAGGAAATTAAGCCCCATCAACTTTACAAGAAAGGAAAAAACTAGAACTGAGAAATGTCACTGTTGCTATGGAAACCATCTTGACTTCCGAGCGCAGCAGAGCTGTTTGCCACAAATTTTCAGCAACACATTGTTAACATGTTGTTAACATGTTTTTTTTTTTTTTTACCAACTTAGTGTAACCTGTGTGAGGTGGGCTTGAAGCAAAAATGCCCCCTGGACTCCCTGCAGTTGCCCACCCCCTGCCCTAGAAAGTTCTCTAATTCTGTCTCTTTATTTTACTTGTATTTAGCTAACAGCAAAGCTTTAAAAAGCACCCCGCTGATAGTTCCCCAAACACCCCATAGCATTTGAAATACTGCTGCGGGAGGGGAGAGGAATTAAAGCCCATTTAACATGACTGTATTTGCAACTGCCATCCATTCATTGGTGCTAATGAACTTCTTCAACAGAAATATTTTCCATGAAAAAATGAAGCTCACATCACTGTCACAATGGCCTACTCTGCCCTGACACCGGTTCTTCAGGTTCTCTTGGAAAAACTTCAGGAAGAAGTCTTTCCAGGTCTGCTATCCTAGATCCTTGGGGATACCAAAGACTGAACACGAAACATTGTGCATTCAAGAGGCATGGCTTGGACATGAGTCAGAGGCCTTCCAAACCGTTCTAGATCCTGCAATAAGAACTCACTGTAGCATCTTGTCCTGCATAGTGGCTGATCACATGGGTGCCTCCAGGGTGCTGCCCCTGGGAGTCAGTGTGATCTAAGCAGCCAGTGTGCTCCTGGTAAGTGATCAGGATGAGGGTTTGGCTTAATCATCCCCACCTGAACACAACCTCAATCCCTTCTTCCACAGTTCACCTCTTCCGGAATGGGCTTTCCTGCCCCTTCAGATCCTTCTTCCCTTTTCTACATCTTGACAATCTGCTCAAGTGTTACAAGAAAACACTCAGTGGACAAGACAACACATGACCCTACAATGCTGCCTGATACCAGCTCAGCTCTTTGTCTATCTAGCAGTTCTCTATCTATGTTGTCTAACTCTGGTTTTCCTGGGCACTAAGCAGAGGTCTTTCATGGCTATCTGGGTAACATCCTGGGAAATGCCTGCAGGTGTCAAGGACTGAACCTGGGACTTTGGCCATGCAGGGCTTCTGCTGTGCCTTGCATCATGGTCTTGCCCAGCTGCTCAAGCTCCTGCAAGAAGACCTTACCGTGGCATCTTGTCCCGAATAGTGGCTGATGACACGGGTTCCTCCAGGGTGCTGCCGATAAAATTGGCTGACATCGTAGACTTTTCTGTCGATGACAAGCCATCTATCTTGCTTGGAGTTGCTTTCCCCTGAGTGGAGTCCGACCTCCTCCCAGGTGAAAAGCCGTGGAACATCTGAACCAGGTCCTGCTTTTCCTACACTCGTGCCTGACTGTTGAGGCATTCTCACTGCCAGAAGCACACCTAAGACTGGGTTTTCCAACTAGCTACCCTGCAGCTGCTCCCTCTGGTAGAAGAAACTGTGCCTTTCCATCCTGGCTCATGCATCAGCCAGCTTTTTATGCACCTGTTGCAACAACCCATTCAGCATTCCTGAGGTTTCTATTCCTCCAGGCATTCTCTTTCAAAACTCCTTGCTTTTTTCCCTGCACTGCCCCATCTGCTTCATTTCCCTACCATGCTGCTAAGAGTCAGTCTTCCTTAATGTCTACTCATGCTGCTTCTTACTATTTGGTAAAACTGGATCAATCTGCATGTTGTTTATTTGGGATCTTCGAATAAACTATTTGGATGACCAAATACCTCAGTCTTCCTCAACCTGACACCCCCCAGATACCAGAACAGAGCTCCCATGCCATGCTGTATGGGAATGATGGAAGCTGTAGTACAACTCACCTGGGACTGGAATTTCAACCTATAAACCTATTTACCTGTTGGTACTATGCATTGGGTGGAGGACAGGAGAGCCTAGAGGAATGTTGTCCATGGGGTCGTGGTGGATCGGACATGACTTTGTGACTAACATAGCATAACTATGCATTGTGCAAGAGTCGTAGCAGCCCTTTAGCAGAAGTTTGGTATTTTTCATCTTATTTTTATTATTTATGTATTTATTTAAAAATTATTTCAGACTACAATAAAATAAGATAAATTACCTATTCCACACTGAGCATCTTTTAAAATAAATTAAATTACTATGTGTTAAAATATTGGCCAAATATAAAGGTCTTGACCTGGGGCCGAAAAGCATATAATGACGGCGCCAGGCGGACTTCTCAAGGGAGTACATTCCATAGTTGGGGCGCCACCGCAGAGAAGGTCCTCCTCCGAGTACTCTGTCTCCTGACCTCTTTCAAAGAGGGTTCCCGGAGGAGGGTCTCTGCTGTCAATCTTAGGGGGAGGGAAGGCATGTAGGGAAAAAGGCTTCCTCCTTACTTGATATTTCCAGAGTGTGTCTTATTCACACATCAACATAAAACTAGATAGGCAGAGAGAAGGAGAGCCAATCTTGATAAACTTGATTGCTGGGTAGAATGCAACAAAATGAGATTCAGTAAGAACAAACGCCAAGTCCTCCACCTAGGGAAAAGAAGCCAAATTCATTCATACAAGATGGGGAATACGTGATTCAGCAGAACTGAAAAAGAAAAAGACCTTAGAGTTATTGTGGCCAGCAGGCTAAATATAAACCAACAATGCAATGCAGCTTCGAAAAGGGAAAATGCTATTTCAGGTGCATTAATGGAAGTATTACAATTATTCGGAAATTGTATGGAAACATGGCAGCTGGGATCACACAGAACAGGCCATGGGGAAGTATAGGATGCTTAAAGTGTGGAACCCTTAAAATCCTGTTTTTCCACAGGATTTCATGGAAACCAAACATCTCACCATAGATGCTGACCTCACACCTAATGACAAGCCATACCTGCACACCTTCCAGCACAGGTGTTGTTATGTTACACAGCCACTTAAAAGTATTTGCAGGCAAAATATTACTTCCCTTGAGAATCCCTAATCCAGGCCTCAGGAAACCATTAGACTCCTTGATTTCAGAAAGTGGACCATAAAACTACTGTTTTGATCAAGATGCCAGGACCAGGATGCAGAAGCTGAGTGGAGACTTGCATCAGGTTTAGAGGGCCAGAGGCAAGAGGCAGTCTTGAAACAGTCCAAGGTCAAGAGCCAGCAAGACAATAAGGTTCAAGCAAACACACACTCCAAGAGCACAGCCCATAGGTGAGGTGGGAGGAAAACAGCCACATTCAGGTACAAGGCAAGGTCAGGGAGGATGGGTACCTGGCAGAGCCAAGCTGGAGACAAGAATGGAAGCGGGACGGAAGCTGTGGGGGTGAGTGGGCAGGCACAAGGATTCAGGCAAGCCAGAGTAAAGGTGGCCACTGGGACAGCTCATGTTGCTGTGGTGAATGAAGCCTTTCCTTTCCTCTCCTCTCCGGGGCTTCAGGATGCACTGCATAATTGCCCAACAGCTATTCCCAGCAAGAGTCTGCTAGGGTGTTCCTGGTTCTGCAGGCACTTGCAGGGTGAATCAGGCTCTGATCCTGGCATAATGTGATGCTCTGCCACACGCTGCTTTTCCATTAACAAGTTAAGTTATCTGATGGGCCCCTCTGAGGGAATCTAGGTGTTTTGGGAGGCGTTCCTCAATTTTTTGGGCCACTCCTCAGTGATGTACCACCATGTTACTTGCTGCTTCCTTCCAAGGAATATTCCTCATATGTCTTAATCTGTGCTGTGATATGCCCCCCGCCCCCAACTGTTGTCCTTGTCTTTCCTCATAGTGCAGAACCCACATGCGGTTCCCATCTAGTTCCTCCAGTAGCTTTCTTAACGTGACCTTAATTGTACAATAGCAATTCTAGCTTACAGACAACTTTTGACTCGAACCCATTTGTCTAATGTCTAGGGCTCCAAACAAACTTGTGTTTATCTGTACAACCAGCCAAGTGTTAATTGGAGCTGAGCCACTAAGGTGGGTCTTAATGGCAGACTTAAGAAACTCCAGGCCTTGCAGAAATATCAGTAATCTTTAAAAAAGATTACTTTGAGGGGACCTTGGGTGTGGTACCCCAACCATAGCTCAAGTGAGAACCAAGCATAATCAGAGGATTTGAGTATCCTGGAAGAGCACTCAACTCCCTGAACTAGAGCACTTCGTACAACCTTGCAGTAAACACACAAAAGGCAAGATTACCGTATTCTCCCAAAAATAAGACCTAACCAGAAAATAAGTCCTAGTATGATTTTTCAGGATACTTGTAATATAAGGCCTACCCCAGAAATAAGCCCCAGTTAAGATTGTGAGCCAGACAGATGCATTTAGTACGTCCATTCCAACACATGATTGACATATTGAATTATAAAATAATACTAATAATATATAATTACATATAAACAATTATCATTGACACTAATACTTTAAAAATGATAATATAACATATAATTAAGTATTTGTAAATACCCAAGTGGGTGCGTTTGGATGAGAGATAAACACCTATGTAAACAGATGAACTTGAGACTTATTGTTGAATGACCAATCGGAGTACAGACACAACTCACAAATAACATGCGCACTTGAGAATGAATGTACGTGTTTCATAATTCAATAAGTCGTATGTTGTAATGGACATTCTTAATGCACTCCTGTGTTGCCACTCCTGCCTCGTAAGTCTTCAATTAACACTTGATTTAATAGTAGATTTAAAGGGAATAATATTTTGACCCCCAGACAAGATGGGTGCAAAAAGAAAGAGTTGTTCCATTGAGTACAAGAAAGGAATCGTGGAGGCCTCTTGGGGCAAGAATCTTACTGCTTTCATAAGAAAAAATAAGACATCACCTGAAAATAAGCCTTAATGCATCTTTTAGAGCAAAAATTAACATAAGACCTGGTCTTATTTTTGGGGAAACATGGTATATTGTATAGTATCTGTTATCAATGGAGTTATATTACAGGTCCTTTTTAGGCCCCCACCTTTCAAAAGTGCAGGCCCTCTTAATGAACTCACAGTTCATATATGTGACTCCAGGCTTATCCTGACAGCTTTATTTATACAATCATCTTCATTCTTATTGTGCCATTCCAAGACAGACTTTTAGTGGAGTAGAATAGTTTAGTTGTGGTAAACCTCATATCTGCATAGAGCGAGATAGGAAAATTTCCACAGGACCCAGAAAGGCAGAGATGGCAATGTGTGGGCATCCACCAGGCTACATTTCTCCTTGAGTTGACCATATTTTTAAAAGATGGTTCTTGGTGAAAGCAACAGGAATACAATCCCATTCTCTGATAGTATATAGCCAGATTTTGCTAGGGGAATACTTGCTAAGTGATGTGGCAGGAAAAGTTTGTTTAAATTGTTTATATCGCATTAGGTGATCCTAAAGACAGTGCTATAATAATGGGGGCCTTCAAATACCCACACATTGACTGGATAAATATATATTCCAGTTCTGACAGAGAGGCTACATTTCTTAATGTCCTAAATGATTGTGCCCTAGAGAACCAATCAGAGGGGAGGCAATCCTGGGTTTAGTCCTAGATGGGGTTGCCCAGGACATTGTACAGGATTGAGCCCTTAGAAAACAGTGACTATGGTGGTATCAGATTTAATATGCAACTAGGTGGAAGACTGCCAAAGAGGTCAAACACAGTAGTGTTTGACTTCAAAAGGGAAGGTCTCAAAAATGAGGGAAGTGGTAAAGAAGAAGCTGAAGAGGGGAATCAAGAAGTTTAAAGCACTTCAAAGTGCTTGGCGATTACTCCAAAACAGTATAATACAGGCACAGATAATGTGCATACCACAACTGAGGAAAGGTAGCACAAAGGCCAGGAAATCACTAGTATGGTTGACGCATAGATTCAAGGAAGCTGTTGGGAAGAAGAAATGGAAGTCTTGGAAATGAGAAGAACAAATGGGACCGCAAGCTTGCACAAGGGGAATGCAAGCAGATGATCGAAAAAGCAAAAACAGTTTGATGAGCATATTGCTAATGACACCAAGATTATATTTTTAAAAAACCTATTTAAATATATCAAAAGAGAAAAATCAGCTAAAGGAGCAGTTGGACCATTGGACAATAACAGAATTAAAGGGGCACTAAGGGTGGGGGGACAAGGAGATTGCAGAGAAGCTGAATGATTAAAAAAACTGTCTTCACAGCAAAGGATTCAGAGCAGATACCTATTCCTGAGCTTATATATTCTGGAAGGGAGTTTGAGGATTTAAAGCAGATAGTAGTTACCAAAGACAAAATTATCAATCTTACTGACAAACTAAAGTTCAGTAAATCACCCAGCCCAGATCCTAGAGTTCTCAAAGAACAGAAATTGCTGACCTTCTTACCAACATATTTAGTATGTTCCTAAAATCATCCATTGTACCAGAGGATTGGAGAATCCTCCAATATAAGACAATTAAA